TGATTCTCAGTAGGCCTAATATCCAACACATGTGTTTTCGGTTTCCGACGACCTTCACAGTGCGCGCGCTCTTACACTGTTCATGACGTCACCGATGAAAAAAAACAGTTTTTTTCCGAAGCGAAAAAAAAGAAGTCATATTTTGTAAACTTTTATTATTTCAATTGTTATCACAATTAAAATGATCGTTAAAAGTAAAACTGTTGGCCATTTATTATTCTGATAAATTTCTGCGGACTACTTTTGTTAGCGGAACATGCTCTCAAATTAGCATATGTGATGCGTCCTTTCTCGTCGTCATTGCATATAGAGACGTTAGGCCTAGTATTGAAACCACTTATGTAGGTAGGTTTCTCGAATTATATAATAAATAGAATCTAACACTCGTGTTCATGTTATATTGAATTTATTGAACTCGTATATTAATTTCATATGAAACACGCCAAAGGCTCGTTTCATATGAAATTAATATACTCGTTCAATAAATTCAATATAACATGAACACTCGTGCTAGATCCTCTATATATGAGCCGCCGGCTGGGATTTGGGTCCTTAACTTCTAGCTAATGAAAAGGGAGAAAAACGGGAATTCCGACAGACGTCATATTTCTATTCTATTTCTGTTTCACGCGAAAACGGAAATCTCACCTGCTTTACAAGAATGTACAATATAACTTTTATTATTCCCAAAACATATACATATAATGTAACTACTGAAACTAGAAGGCTATCATTTAATTATTCAAACAATGTCATACACTTTAGATATCAATAATTAATCAAATTGACTTAAATATCGAAGCGACAGGGATTTCCCGTTTTCTGGTGCGCACACTTCCGGTAGATTGTTTACATTCCCTACGGAAGATGATAGACACGGTGGCTGCGTTTAAACTTGTGACATGTAGCAGCCTATCTTCCACCCAATTTAAAGTATATGAATTGATGTGATAGTGTGATAGCTGCAGAGCTAGACGATGAGTTCAGTCACTTCTTTCCCGTTTCTTCGGCTAGTAATCGTGCTAAATGTTGGCCAGGTTCAGGCGTGTGGGACAAGGGGGTGCAGGCTAACTTGCACGTCTACATTTATACAATGTGACTTGTAGTTTCAAAACACAAATAAGTCAATCGCTAGTCATGTACTTTAATAATATCAACGTGCATTATCTCGAGAATGTAAGGACGCTTTTTTGATGCAGTTCTTCGGATGCTTGGGAACAATTAGTACTATATACTAATATTAATACCCGGCCTCCTCTGCCCAGATTAAAAAAATATCGTCGTCAGAAAGCTACGTTATCGCAGCTAGGGAACACTCAGAAGAAAGAAAAACATGCTGTAAAATATGAGCATGTACAGCAAATATTTCAAGGTATGTAAACATTAAGAAAAATATTTGTATTTTTTATTGTATAATGAGATAAATGACCAAATGGTTTAAATGAATAGAAAGCTTCTTCAAGTGACAACAAGTGTCGCCAGACAAAATCTATAAAAAAATACCGAATAAAATAAGCGACATCAGAAGATTTGTTGTCAATATGACTATAATACACCTTGATATCAAATTTCAATTTGATATTTGAAAAATTGACCGAGTTATGATGAATTGAATTTTACGATCTGCGGCGTTGCACGTGTGTGTAATAACCTGTACAGTAATTAAGAAAGCGTCACTAGACAATATCTTTAAAAACTCTTACTGAAGTAAGCGACACCAGAGGATGTGTTATGAATAAGACTTTTATTGATATATACTCCAAATTTTAGCTAGATATATGAAAAAACGACCGAGTTATGATGAATTTATTTTTTACGATTGGCGGCGTGGCACACGTGTGTGAATTGAACTCCGCAGATCGTGAAGCGTCTTCAGACTTTACCTCTAAGATTAACCTATAAAGTAAGCAACATAAGAAAATATGTTTTTCATATGACTATGAACACCTATGTGCCAAACTTCAGGTCGACATTTGAAAAAATGACATAGAAATGACGAATTGAATTTTTACGATTGGCGCCGTTGCACACGTGCATAAAGAAATCTACAGATCGTGAAGCGTCTTCAAACTATATACCTAAAATTAATCTAGAAAAGTAAGCAACATCAGACGATATGTGATTCATATGACTATAACACACTTTTATACCAAATTTCAGTTTGATATTTGAAAAAATTGACCGAGTTATCGTGAGATAAATTTTACGAAGTACATGTACAAGTATGAAAATGTACAGCGTATCACACACATATAAGGACTTCGCATTGCTGAACACGGCCACCCCGGATTATATTGCTGTGTAAACACTGGTATAGCATTTTGTTTGTTTTATTATTTGTTGTTTTCCTCGTCAGAATGGATGATTTTATTTCAGTTCCAAGGATGATTTTTTTTCAGTTCCATTCTTTGTAGAAGTTACCAGACCGCCGCTGTCCGTAATATATGTTCGTGTGACTATATATATGTAATGTGTTTGAAAACATACAAATACTGCGTTTTTATTTGTAGTCTTATAAATAAAAATAAGATAAAAAAATAACTTTTAATAGTTAACTGCTTAACACCGTCGGTATTTTCATATTTTTAGCGATTCCTGCGGTATTGTTAACATGTCATTCGTAGAAGTAAAAACAAAAGTCGGTTTTCTAGCACACATGTTTTGGGAACTTTTAGCTTTAAGAGCTGTATCAAATGTTGACAATTCCCGCAAGACAACTAAGCTTGACATTTTGCGCGTGCGCGGCCAGTTCATAGTCACCGGTACCAACGACCATCAAAAGTATTGCGATTGTTGCATGCTGAATCAGCTCGGTAACTCATTTTTCTACGTACACCATCCACGAACTTAGACTTAATCTAATTACGTGGTACATCATAGTATTGAGACTGATGAATAGTATAAAATAGATAAACCCTGAATTCGATCGGTTTGAAACTTGAGCATGTGATTCATTGATTTGCAATTGTTGTTTTTCAATCTTTTTTGTAAAACACCCCTCGCTTTATCCTTTCTGACCAATATATCTCTATACGTGTTCTATACGACTCATCAATCTTTAGCGAGATAGTAATGGATTTCATATTAAATATCAATTCAGTAAACTTTTCTTGTGTTATTTTGTCATAGACTATGCATAAACTGACCTTTTTAGGGGCACCATCTTGTTTAATATAAAGTAATATAGAGGTCTCTTTGTTAACGTAATTGATTATACCAACACATGCACAACAAAATGTCAGTGAATCAATGTTTATACAGCAATATGATCCGGGCTGGTCGTATTCAGCTATACGGTCGAAGTCCTACGTACATGTAGACATATGTGACACGCCGAGAGCGTCATACGTGTACTCATAAAACTTAAATACCCCACGATAACTCGGTAATTTAGCCCCCTGAAATCCATCGTTTCTGATTGTACAATGTTGTTTTTCACGTCTAATAAATGTGTTGAGAATGCATTTTTTTTTTTTTATAAAACTGTTTTACTTTACAATATAGCTGTATATTTTATATATTGTGTTGCATAGATGATCACCAAACCTTGTTTGTACCAGGTATATATAAATCGGTTTTTATTGCATATACTTTCTGTTGATATGTATATTAAATGTTCATTTTAGGGGAACTAAAGGTGAAACCTGCACTTGGCGGGGAGGAGACTGATGTGAGACTAGTTATGAGAGGGAAAGCCATTCCTGAAGGTTTTCTAGAAAGTGGTGATAAAGGCCTGGGACCTTTTCTGCCTCGCTACACTAGATGTAATTAAGCTCATATTGGTGATCTATCCAAACAAAGGAATGATGACATACTGTGTTTAAAATCTACTTTTTAGACTAATAGTGCATTTCAGTGACTATTCAGTCCATTTGTACTGGCCTAAGGACGGTCTTTCTGTGGATGTCAAAGTGTTGACTGGAGATAGAAGGTGAGGCCAAAATGTGTAGTGATGTGATATGAGTATTGAGATTTTCCTTGGCCAATAAAATGATGGGAAATGAACAGTTATTTATTATCTACAAAAAAAACAGTATTGAATATAGGAATAACATATTCTGTGTCTTAACTAAAATGCCTGTTTTGTTTTCTGAAAATGATGTTTAACAAATATTTGAGAAAAACAATCACTAAATTAAAACAG